ATTTGGGGCCTCTCCTCTCTTGTCTCATGCCGTGTGTGCGTCACTCCGAATTGTGTGCACGTAACTCGCACACACACACGTGTGGACGCATCTCTCATACATACAATATAGCTCTGCGAACTCTTGAGTTTAGCTCAAACTTATATATATTTCGTACATATGTCTGGGCAAGCTATAATAAAGTCGAAGGAGCCGCAGAGTCGAGAGTCAAAAGTCGAGTAGGGCGCGCGCGCCGCATTGGACAAAGTCAGTCGCGCTCGCTCGCAGTTTTGCAGATTCCTTTCACTTTCGGGCATAAGCTCAACCGCACAAACTCGGCGTGCACACACACACACACACTGCAACAACACACTCGGAATTATATATATACACGACGACTACGTGTTTCGTGTCTCCGATGTAGTAGTAGTCGTAGATTTCGCAGTCGAGTATATATATATGCGCCTTGTTGCACACACACACACACACACACACACACACACACACACACACACACACACACACACACACACACGTATATACCGCGTGCGTCCTCTTTAAAGCGAACACGTGCAATTCGGCTTGGAATAATAACTATCGACTCGAGTGCAGAGTATGCCGGCTTTTATTATTTTTTTCGTATATATACATTATACGTTCGCACACAATGTACGATTCATATTTTTCGTTGGAGCTTTTTAGTCATCGACGACTCGATGCGGCGGCGACGACAACGACGACGACGTGCGTGCGTACATGCATAGAGTCGCAAAGTTTTTTTTTTTTTTATTCTTCTTATAATACTTGAACCTCTTCGCACAATTCGCACGTATAATACAACGCAAGCCTTTAAAAAAAATTTTCGCGTGCTCGAGTCATGCTATTTCGTGTAAAAGGTGTTGTAGCAGCAGCAGCAGCAGCCTGCGCAAAACGCGCCAAGCCCGAAAAACTCGAGTGCGCGCCGTTGCCGCGTTATATATATATATATAATACAGCCGCCACCGCCTGCGCCTGGCCCGCATTAGTCGCTCTCTTTGTTTACTGCCATCCATTCGCAAACTGATAAATGTATACGTAACGCAAACAGCGAACGTACATCATAAAGTATATCTCGCCCGCAAAAAAAAACTCTTGTACGCTCCGAAGTCGAAAAAAAAATTCAACTCCGATGGTTATTATAGCAGTGTTGGTGGTGTAGTACACGAATGCATAATCCGCTTATTGAACTCATTCAGCTCGCGATGGATTTATCCCGCGCTCCCACGAGAGCTTTCGATTTTTTTTTCGCTTCGACTTTTTTTTTTTCAACGAGACACCGACTGTATGTATGCGTGGATATATTTATACTTGCTATACTACTGCGCGCGTAACGAGCGCGACACAAACTGAAACGAGCTTCAGTTGCTTAATCAAGGACTACTTTGTGCCTTTTGCCAGTGCGCGCGTAAATTGCCTACGTAGATTGACTCGTGCTCCGAGACCATACACACGCCTTTTCTTGCGCATTTCTCTTTTTCTTTTTTTTTTATTTTTTTTTTTTTTACCGAGGCTTGAATTTTTGCTGGTGGATAAGTAATAATCGTACGCGATGCCCCCAATAGCGCATTATGAAAATAATGTAACTTTTGTCTAAGCTCGTTAGAAGATTAATGTAACACTATTATAATTTGGGCATATTTATACGAATAAATTATATTGGACTTTCATCGCGATAAGACGAATTACCCTGTTGAAAAATTCTAAATGTATTATTGTCCATTGAATAAAAATTCAAACATAAAAATTTAAAAAATCGACCCCAAATTTCATTTAAGGTACGCTTTCATAAAATATTCGTTGGGAATTAATGTATCAATACTGATATATTATTTTTACATAAACTGCAAAAAAAGCATGAAAATACAAAAACAACTCAAACTTGATTATTTTGATGGAAAATTAAAGTTCATGGATTATTCTTTTGCGTTAATTGCTTATAGAACGTATAATAATTCGATCATAATTTAAGTCAGTCTTTACCGTTAGATGGCGAAAACCATTATCTAAAATCGTCCAATCTGCAAGTAGTAAAGTGAAAAAAATTGTATAAGCAAGGCAATTTTGGTACAAAATTGTACAATCAAGTTTATAAAACTTTTGTACAGCAACGAAGCGACGAAAAACAAAGGTATCAGATACGGATATAGATTTTCGTCCGGATGACGAAAAAGGAGCACACCGATTGCTCCGGTATCATGGGTTCTAGTTATACTATAGTTCACCTTTGACCTTGTCGGAGGCAATGATCTCGGATCAAGGATGCATACTAATGTGCCCTTCAAAGTTTTTGCTTCTACACAATACTGTTGGTGTCACGGATTCTCATCTGTTTCTCTCTCTCTCCCTCTTTATTTCTCTTTTTTCGATTATCGCAACAAACGAGGATAGAAATATTCGTAAAGATTAATAAAAAAAAAAACATTTATCAATGACCAACGATTGATCTCGTAATTTTTTTTGCCGTTTTGCAGCCGTGCGAGCCGACAGGATGCGAGGAGGTAGAAACAAATTCGGCCCGATGTACAAGCGCGACCGGGCGCGCAAGCTGCAGATGATACGCCAGCGCCAGCTCGCCCTGCAGACGCTGGGCCGCGTCGACACCGCGAGCTACCCGAACACCGTGGCGCCACTGTTCCACATCAAGCAGGAGATCCAGATACCGCAGGTGTCGTCGCTCACGTCGTCGCCGGACTCGTCGCCGTCGCCGGCGGCGGTGGCGGCGGGCCTCGTGGGCGGCAACG